ACCCTGCCACGGCCGGCTCTCCTCTCCGGTGGTGAGGGAGAGGAGCTGGGAGCTGCAAGGGGAGGCAGGAAGGTCAGCAGATCTGCCCACCCTGCCTGGCCTGCAGAGGCCCCAGCTTTGCGGTCCTTCCCTGAGAGGGCCCGGAGGGCTCTGCCGCCCCGAGCCTGAGCGCGCCGTGCCCCTTACCAGTGCCCGGGCCAGCGCAGCCAGCGCACTCCCACTGCTGGGTGGTGTCCGCAAGGCCGGAGCAGCGGCGGTGGGTCCCGCTGGCGGCACAGGAGGAGCAGAGCAGGAGCTGCCAGGGCCTGGGGAAGAAGTTGTGCTGGTGAGCACGCAGAGCCCAGCAGGCAGTGGCGCCACAAAGGCCCCCAGGGCTCCAGAACCATTGCTCATGGCGCCCCAGCAGAGGGGAAGGTGCCTGGGCAGAGCCCCAGCAGCCACTGCACGGCTTGCTGGAGATGTGGCTCACAGCCCCCAGCAGCCGGGGAGCTGCTGCTGTGGATGCTCACCCTTCCTCTTCCCACTGCTCCCGGCCTCCCCTGTACAGGCACTGCCTGGCATCGCAGCGGCCATGCAGCTGTGGCAGTGCCAGCTCCTCCTCCTGCTCCCAAGCCGGCTTTCTTCAAGAGAAAGTAGGAAAGAAAGGTCACGAGCTCATGGGGCACTCAGCAAGTGTCAGTGCTGATGCTGGGACAGGGCTCAGGGGCATCCCTGGCAGCAGGCCAGCGTCCTCCTGTCCCCCAGGCAGGCAGCCCCTTTTGTTGGGGACAGTCTGCCTGGAGGGATTAGGGCCTGGGGCTGTGCCCTCTCCTGCCTTGAGTGGGGTGGGAAGGAAGGAAGGAAGGAAGGAAGGAAGGAACGCACTTGTTGGGCACGCAGATTCCCATGTGCAGCATCTCAGGGACAAAGCGCTCCCAGTCCCGGCAGTGGGGGCACGCAAAGTGCCTGAGGCCCGCCCGAAGCGCCTGTCCCTGTGGAAGAGAGACTCCCCGTGTGAGCAGGACGCCGCTGCGGGCGCATGGTGTCCCTGCGGGCTGGCAGAGGGAAGGGCCTCCTACCTGGATGCAGCCCCGGTGGAACCAGGCGTGCTTGCAGGAGGGGCACACCATGGTGGTGTAGGACAGGCTGTCCTCCACCACCTCCATGCAGATGATGCACGTGGTGTGCCCCTCCTGCAGCGTCTCCACGGTCTGCTGCGGGCGGTGCTCCCAGCAGAAGGAGCTGCGTGAGGACGGAAGAGTTGAGTGAGGCCAGGGACCACGCGTGCCACACCGGGGACTCTGCCTGCAGGGCGCAGGCTGAGGGGGCTGCAGCCCAAGCTAGGGCAGCTCGTACCTGTACTTCCCAAAGAACTGCGAGATGCAGCCCCGCTGGGAGCTGCAGGGAAGGTGGAAGCGGCGCGAGCAGCGCTTCTGCCGGCAGGCGACGGTGGCCCCCTTCTTGCGGCAGACGCAGCAGCGCTGCAAAGAGCACAGCAGCCCCGTCAGGGACGTGGCCGGGGCCACTGGGACTTGCCCGGAGCTTGTCCAGAGCCTCGAGGATTTCTTTGCCAGGGCTTGGGCTCAGCTGCCACAAGCCTCGTCTGCTCCAAAAAAGCCCTCACCTTGCGAGCTGCCCGACCCGCTACCCGCCTGATATCCGCGCAGCGGAATCCCAGGATTCCTTCCCCTTCAGGGCCTCGCTGGTACAGGCCCTGGGCTGGAAACTGGAAGACAGAAAAGCCCCACAGCTGCTCAGGGCAAGGACATAGGGACCATGGTGGGGAGGCTGTGCTGGGAGCGCAGCAGGAGGAGGTGACAACCAGCGAGCAGCGCGCTGGGGATGACACAGGCCTGTGGGCTCCAGGTGCCAGGCAAGGGGTCGGGGAAAGGCGCGGGCAGCCGCGGGGAGCTCACCAGGCAGTGCACGTGGGCGCAGACCCCGTCCACCTTCAACATCGGCCCGCAGCCATCCAAGCTGGTGTCCGAGCGGTGGCACAGCACGCACTCTGGGGGAGGCAGGGCGGCAGCCATGGATGAGAGCATCCCCCCACTGAGCACCTGGCAGGCGTCCCCGAGGGACGCCCGCAAGGGCCTGCTCGGGGGCTCCTGGCAGGGCGTCCCTGGGTGTCCACAGCCCAAGCGGCTCTGCACAGCCCCAGGGGGTGCTCAGGGCCCTCCACCTCCAGGGAGCTGCTGGGGCATCTGCTCTCACCGTCCTCCTGTGCCTCAGGGGCCTTCTCCTCCTCTCCAGCAGCCATGCTGCGCAGCAACTCCTCGCCTCGCCTGGCCTCGCCTCGCTGCCAGGAGCTGCTGCCTCCACGCCTGGCGCTCGCTAGAGACGCAACGTCCCTCACAGCCTCGCCTGTGTCACTGGTGTCGTTGTGATCCCTCCGTGTCACTAGGAGACCATGGAATGGTGGATGATGCGGCAGGGCCCAGGAGCTCCCCCAGCCTCACAGACACCCCCTGGGCTTCCAAGCCCACGGTGCAGCCTCTTCATCCCCGTGAATGGCCGTGGTGGCTTGGCCTAGGCTGGCGGCCAGGTGCCCACCCAGCTGCTGTCTCGTTCCCTCCTCAGCGTGACAGGGAGAGAAAACACGAGGGAGAAACCCTCGTGGCTTGTGAGGAGGGCACAGGGAGATGGCTCACGGGCTGCTGGAGAAGCAGAGAAGTGAGAAACAAAGAAACAAAAGGAAACAACAGCACCAACACCTTTCCCCCACCCATCCTCTTCCACCTCTTCCCCCCAAGTGGCGTAGGAGAACGGGGGAATGGGGGCTGCGGTCAGTCTGTAGCACTTCGTCTCTGCCGCTCCTTCTCGGTCACTCTTGTCCCCTGCTCCAACGTGGGGTCCCTCCCACAGGTGCCGTCCTTCCCAAACTGATCCGGCGTGGGCTTCCCACAGGCAGCAGCTCCTCGAGAACTGCTCCAGTATGGCTCCGTCCCACAGGCTCCATCCCTCAGGAGCACACTGCTCCATCCCGGGTCCCCCCCAGGCAGCAGTTCCCCTCCATCCCCTGCTCTTGCATGGGCTCCTCTCCACGGGCTACAAGGCTGGCCCCGAATCTGCTCCGGCAGGGGTCTTGCACAGGCCTCAGCCTCTGTCAGCGCAGGGCCACCTGCTCCCCCGTGGTCTCCTCCACGGGCTGCAGCATGGACCCCTGCTCCACTGTGGTACTCCATGGGCTGCAAGGCTGTTTCTCACTCCTTTCCCTCTCCCAGCTGCTGTGTAGACATGTTTGTTTTGGTTTTTTTTTTTTTTTTTTTTTTTTTTTTTTTTTTTTTTTTTTTCCCCTGTCTTTAATATGCTCTCACAGAGTCGTTGCTTGTTGGCTTGGCTCTGGCCAGCAGCGGGGCCCTTATCTAACATGGGGCATCTTCTAGAGTCTTCTCACAGAAGCCACCCCTATTGCTCCCTGCTACCCAAACCTTGCCACAGAAACCCACTAGAGATGCGAGGCTGGGACACGAAGTAGCAACAATGTCACGTCCAGGCCCAGTCCTGCCCAGCCTCTTCATGAATGATCCGCACGGCGGAGCAGGCCGTGCCCTCAGCAAGTCTGCTGCTGATCCAAGCTGGGAGGAGATAGGGATGCACCAGAGGGTGGTGCTGCCCTCCAGAAATGGCCTGGCAGGATCCTCCTGGAGTTGACACCAGGGAAGCTTGAAGCTGAGGCCCTGGGGAGGAAAGCTGGAGAGCCCAAGGCTTGTTGGAGTTGCCCCAGCTGGAGGCCTGGGTCCAGTTCTGGGCTCCCCAGGACAGGAGAGCCATGGGCCTAGTGGAGGGAGCGCAGTGAATGGCAGCCAAGCTGGTGGCAGGACTGGAGCATCTGTCCTCTGGGGAGAGCTGGAGAGAGCCGTGACTGCTCGTTGTGGAGAAGGCCTGGGGGGATCTGGCTGAAGGATCTCAATATGTGAAGAGAAGGTGCAAAGGAGATGGAGCCAGGCTCTTCTCAGTGGTGCCCAGTGTCCACATGGCTGCAGGTGGCCCTGCTTGAGCATGGGGGTTGGAGCAGGTGACCTGCAGAGGTGCCTTCCAAGCCCGAGCCCACTGTGTGTCCGGTGGTTTTGCAGGGACCTGAACCAAAGCGCGGCCATTCAGCCAGGCCCGAGCAGCGGGGCAGCTGTGAAGGAGGCTGCCAGGTGGGCTTGGCCTTCTGATGGCCAGATGGCCAGCCTGTGACTGTGTCTGAGTCTGTACAAGCTCCTGGCTGCTGTCACCATTCCACCGGGCGGTGACAGGGTCCCCAGGTGTACAGACAATGCTCACTGCCACGTGAGGGCCTTCTGCTGGGCAGCATGGCTGGGCTTCTCCTGTGGACGGGCTGGTTGTGGCAGCCACTTTTACTACATGATTAAATGTTTGGTGTTCCCTTTATAACGCAACTGCCTGCAGTCATTCGTGCAGCAAATGTGTGGTTTAACACAGCCTGCTCTCAAATTAAAGCCATCCCTCATGCCTCCATCATGTTGGGAGCAGTAGGAACCACCCTGTCATGCCTGGACAGCAGTTTGGGAAGCTTTCCTTCCCACCCTGTGTCTTCCCTTCATCTCAAACCAGTAGATCTTTTTATGCACCGGGAAACAAACAAACAAACGATTTTGTTTTGCATGTGTGACAAGTTCATGTGGTCTGGCAGCAGTAAAGCCCAGGAGTGCCCTTCCTTGATCTCATGCAGCAGGGATTGAATATCCCCCAAGGCTCCCTACTGTGCTGAAGCCCCTAGCATGGCTCCATCTCTACTTGCCCCTTCCCTGTGGCAGCCTCATGACCAAAGGCAGCTTCCCCGCTTCCAGCCCAGCTCCATCCCCCATGGTGGCTCCATCTCCCATGCCCAGCTCCATTTTCCCATCCCAGCTCCATTTCCTCTCCCAGCTTCATCCCCTTTCCTGGCTCCACTGCAAGTCCCCCTCACCAAGTCCCAGATCCATCCCATCATCTTTTCAGGAGCTGAGGGCCATCCCTTGCCTGCCGCTGGGGATGGCTCTGGGCAGGGTGGGGGGCGATCAACAAACCACTGCAGTTGGAAAAGTGACCTTTATTAAAAAAACAAACCAAACAAAACACAACACAATAACCAAACCCACCCCAAAATGTTCTGTAGTAGACCGCAACTGATGGCTTTTCACAATGCCTGTGCGCGTCCACGCTGACCTGTGCAAGAGGGGTGGGCAGGGGCAGACAGGGAAGCCCCCAGGACTTGGCAACCGTTCACCCTGCTCCTGTCCTTGCCAGGGGGAATCCCCTGGCTGGAAAAGTCACAGTGGAGCAAGGCCAGGACCACTGCTGGCATCTCTGGGTATACAGGATAGGGCTGCGCTCCAGTCCCATCTACCTCCTGCTCCCTGGGGAGCCTGAAGCGATGGGTGAGACTTGGATCAAGAGCCTGGGAGGAGCTGTTTCATGATGTGTCCCAGGTGGGCAGCCAAAATGGGACTGGCGAGGACCAGCCCTTGCCGGGAGCACAGAGATGCCATTGCCACGGGCTGGTCACCGGCTGCTGTGTGTGTCGCGAGAGGAGTTCAGAGCTGCTATCGTGAAGTTGCTCCCTTACAAAACAACAAAAAAATACCACCAAAACTCCCCAAAAGACAAGGTAGTTGTGGTGAGGATGGGAGGTGCAGAGTCAGTCCTTGGGCAGGCTACACCAGTCCCGCTGCCTTCTCCTGTACATTGTACTCCTTGCTCCTCTTCACTTTCCAGCCGATGAGGGCGAGGAGCACAGTGCCCACCACTTTGTACCCCACCTGCAGCCCCAGGTATCTGTTAAGAGAAGAGGATGGAGATGTCCTATCTGGAGGTGGCCCCCCAGCTGTGCATGGAGCAGTGCCAGCTTGAGGGACCGTCCCATGGCAGCCTCAGGTACTGGGGCTGGGGACAGGTACCTGTTGCGGAGGAAGTCGTTGTTGTAGTAGGCGCAGAAGCGGCGCTGAGAGCACTGTTTCTGCCAGTAGATGCAGGAGGAGTCGATGAGGGCACCAAACATGGCTGGAGCCGGCAGCCAAGCTTTGGAGAGGAGGGGACCGAGTCAGGCTGCCTGCTTGTGTGCTTTACTCACTGTCCCCGAGGAGATTCAACACCTCCTGGGGCTCCAGCAAGCCTCTGAGCACCTTGCTGCCCTCCCTCAGCCTCATTAGGAGATGGACACTCACCTAGCAGCCTCATTAGCAAGAACTGAACGCCGATGGCAAATGACTTCTCCTCCTGGTTCACCACCCTGCAGGGGAGAAGCCACAGGAGGTCAGAGCTGGTGGCAGTGGTGGCTCAGCTCTCCTGGTTTCGCTGCCAGGTTTAGCTGTGAAGCCAGTTCCTCCTCAGTTCCTCCATCTGGGGAGGGGAAGCAGAGGCACCCTGGAGTGGTGGGATGAGCTTGCACCAGGGAGGAGGGGTTGGGTTGAAAAGTCAAGAAGGTGATAAAACACAATGTTTTGTTTTTAAGGAATGCTCTGCTTGGTTCTCCCAGTACATCAAACTCAAGGAACAGCCTTGCTGAAATAGGAAACACTGATTTTTAGGAAATTGCCCTGATTTCCAAGGGTGGTGGAGGAGAGTGGGGGGGTCTCTCTGCAGTAGCACTCAAAGCACTAAAACAAGGGGGATCCTGCTTCTTGCAGACCCTCATGGGCAAGTTTCTGATGAGCACAGAAACCTGCAAAACTTGGTCAGTTGGTGAGAAAGCACCCTTCTCCTTCTCAGACCTTTACACAGCTCAAACGTATTACTCTGCAGGCCCCCCTGTCCATTGCTCACCGTAAAACCATCATGTAGAGGGGGTTGTGGGACAGGCAGGCTACCAGGGCAGCGAAGGAGATGAGGAAGATGGCAGGAAGGAGCATGTGGGAGCAACTGAGGGGACAGGAGCCGGTCTTGGCGGAGGAAAACCCATTCCCGGCAGAGATCTGGGAACAGTTCCTGTAGGTCTGTTGGAAACATTTTAAGAAAAACAACAAAAACACATAAAACTCCCAAAGTCAAGCAATGCACCAGGCCGCGTCACTTTGCATAAGAGCGGTGAGAGCACCAGCTTTGATTTTAAAGCATGGCCACAGCATCCTGCTGAGCGTCCCGGCCTCCTGCAAGGGGACGTGACACCATTTCCCATTTGTCCCAGCAGACTGCCAGGGCTTTCCAGCCATTCCCTGTGCAGGGCTCAGTGGGAAAGTTGGCACAACTGAGCACTGAGGAATGCTCGGCGTGAGCATCAGATGCCTGAAGGCACTGGACTTCTTGCTCTACTTAGAGGTGTTTTATGGGCGACTTGTTCAGAATGTTAAATTGTTGGGAAAATGGCATGCTCATGCTCTCCAGCCAGCCCTTTACCAACCAAAGGGAACCTGGTCTCCTCCATCACACCTTTTCAGGAGTCCAGCCCTCCATGTAGACACAGATCTCCCTCCAAACAGCTCTACCACATTACTACGTCCAAGTTCCTACAGCATTGCAGCAGCCTCTGCTGTGACCAGCAAGCAAAGTGCACTCCACCTTGCCAAAACCAAAACCTGGAAACACTCTGGATCTTGGCATGGACACAATGGCTTGGCTTGGTGGCCATGCTCCCATCCCACTACTCACCACCTGCTTGGGAGCAGAGGAATTAGTGCTGCTGTTGGTGCAGCCAGCGAAGCAGGGTGAGATGTACTCCACGTTGTTTTCTCCGCACACCGGGTGAAAGATGTGCTCGGAGCAGTGGCACCCACTCGGCGCCTTAACCTGTGGCTGGGAACTCGATGTTCTGCCAAAGAGGAGAAAATAAATAAAAATAAATAAAATGAAGAAATAGGACAGGAGGAAAAACAAAACAAAACAAAACAAAAAAGTATCTTCTCAGACCTCTTTCTAGCTAACCAGTTTCTCTGTTCCTATGTGCGCTGGGATGCTGCCAGCAGCAGGCTGGCCTTGTGCCAGATCCTGATCCCCTGCAGGTACCTCTGCAGTGTACAGCGAACTTAGCAGTCCATAATTATGTTATGTCTGCAAACAAGTGCTCACACACTTTCTCTCTCTCTCTCTCTCTCTCTTTTTTTTTTTTTTTTTTTTTTTTTTCCCAGCTGAAAACTAATCAGCAAATGCCTGGAGAAATGTTTTCTGGGCTTCATCCAAAACCACGCAAACAGATGTGCAAGGAGCCTCAGCTGGAAACGCCATCCAGACAGCAACTGGAAGCTGGGCTCACTTCCAAACAAACCTGATGACAGTGTGAAAGGCAAGAGGACAAACTGAATTATCTGTTCTGTCTTGCCTCCCTGCCCCAGGGGCTTCATCTGCTGGAGCAGCGCGGTCTGCCTGACCCTTCTTGGGGATGGTGGGCATAGACACCTAACTCCCAGCAAGCTGGAGCTCAAGGGGAGAGGGGGCTTCATGCCTAAACATTGCTGCTGTTGCAAGGGGGGGAGTTTCTGTCGTAATATGAGGCCACAGCTACAAGCAGTCAGAGCAGCCTGCATGCTGAACTGGACTCTTGCAGGTGTTGCAGAAGGAGAAGCGGGGAGGATGTCAAAGCTGGGACTATGAGAAGTGGAGAACCCAGCTGTTGTCAGGAAGTGAGCCTCTAGCAAAGTCCCTGATGAGAAGGAAGGGTCTGCTTGGATGTGACGACCAAGGAGACAACCCCCTCGTGTGTGTTAGGCAACAGTTTTGTGTTCCTAGCTCCTTTCCAGCCAGCACAAGGCAGCTGCTGCAAGCGGGAGCACGGACAACACCATCACAGGCTTTCCCAAGCAGCCCCGTGCCACTCGTGGACTGACTCTCCCTGGGTAGACACCAGCATCTCTGCAATCTCAGGAGCTGCTAGAGGTGGAAGGATCCACCTCAAGCTCCCCAAACCCTACAGCCTCATCTCTCCCATCCCATGTGCTACACAGGACTGCAGAAAAAGCAAGGGCTGAGCTAGGTCTGTGAGCTAAGGACCCTGGCTGTAAATGTGAGACAAATCCCTGCCTTATTCCTGCCTCCTCTTTTCCTACAAGCCCCTCCGCCGGCTCCCCATTCCACCTGCAAACCCCATAAGCACTGGTGTGTCCCAGCGGGGCTGACGCTGGCAGCAAGAGGTGAGTGCTGTGAGGCTAAGGTGCCTTCCAAAATTTAGCACATGTAGCACCTGATTCTGAACTGAGGGTCCAAAGCCTTGCTCTCTCACAAGAAGCTGGCATGCCAGTGCCTTGGTGGGTTTTCATATGCTCCTGAATTAACTGTATATGCCAGTGTACTGTTAATTAGCAGTATGCATGCTGTTATACAGGTATTAACAGCACACACCTCAGCACAAAATAGAAACTTGCAGTTCATGTGTGAGTTTGTTTGCAGAACACTGTTGTTGTTTTTTTGTTTGTTTGTTTGTTTTTCGTTTGTTTTTTTTTGTTTGTTTGTTTGTTTGCTTTGTTTTTTTCTTCACTGTGGTTATTTGAGTGGTTTTTAAGTGCGCAAGGGTTGAAGTGCAGGAACTACCCTGTCTCTCACCTCTCCACCATACTGTGAGGCAGGAGGCTTATCACTGGCAAAGGGAAATGTGTCTGAAAGCCCCTTGCTGATATGCTGGCAGTGCATTGAGAAATGGCCTGTGTACAATGCACTTGACAGCAAGCCCGGGCTGGAATCTAAATGTTGTTTCAGTAAGTAAAAAGATGTGGTGACAGCCAGAAGTTTCCACCCAGCCAAGCAGAAAGGTGATGTCTAGCTGGAACGGAGTGTGCTCCTTGTGGACATGGTCACTGACACTCCTAATTTCCCCCTAGAAATACAGGGTTAGAATGAAAAAATATACCCTGTTTGTTTGGTACAGAACACTCAGGAATAAATGCCTCCTTTCTGTGCTGTATAGTGCTTAGATCTGCTCCAGGCAGCAGGATCCAGGAGGAGGTGATGTTTACCACCTTTTGGCCTCCATCTACATGTACACCCTCCCCCCCCACCCAGATAATCAGGTCAAGAGCTGGAGAAGGGAGGAATACAGAGCTGGAAACAACCCTGCGATACCTGGAGGGGTAGATGCCATCGATGTGCACCGTGGAGCAGCCCATGAAGAAAATGGGCAGGCAGATGAGGATGGAGAAAACGAGCACCACCACAGAGAACCGGGGGATGGCTCGGAGGGAGAAGGCAAAGCGTTTCATGACGATTCCTCCTAAGAGCATCCCGAGTGCTGCTGCTGGCAGGTTCACAGCTCCTGCAGAGGAATAAAGGCATCAGCCAGGGGTCCTGCCTGCCAAGCTCCTCTCTGCTGGCAAGGGGTGGAAGTGGTGGCTCTGAGGAGCTCATGGTGGTTGGCAGAATCCACAGACTCCACTGTTATCCAGGACAGACTCAATCCCAGGGCTGTTGACACCTATGAGACACTGCATCCTCAGGAGTCTGAAGACGCAAGATCGAACTTGGGTGTGAAATCGCTTGCTTTTTGCCAGCTTCTTTCAGCATCAGAGTGATCCAGACCTGCTTCAACTGTGTAGCAGGGCTGCACATTTCCAACGAGAGCAGTTCTGACCCTCGGGAGCAAGTGAATGAAAGTATCCAGCCCCTGCTCACCTATAAGAAAGTTGGCATATGAGGAGGTGGCGCCATACTTGCTTCTCGAGGAACTTGTTGAGGAAGGTGGCGAGACCCGCGATGACCGAGGAGAAGCTGCACTGAGCAAGCACGAGGAGGATGAAGAGGGGGTTGAGGAGCAGCTTGAGGAAGACCTTTGGGAATCCTGCAGGGAAACAGCAAGAAAAATGTATTTTAGCAATGTGGTACTGATATCAGCAATTCATACTGCCAAGTATCCCACCTTCAGACTATTCCCAGTGGGCTAAATAGGGGATGTGTAAGGAGATGAGAAAATTGAAGGGGGGACACCCTGATTTGGCCAGGCAACTTGCAGGACCACAGCCTGCAAGTTGCCCTGAGATGGGAAGAAACTGCCCTGAGATGGGAGGATGAGGGCCAGCTCTGCCCACGGCCCTTTCTGCCATGATTTCCAAACCCACAAGCCCCTGAGCACTTGGCAGCCCCAGTGCATTTATTTTTCTGAAGCAGGGGCCGTATCTCTGGGTGGTGCAAGCAGATGAAAGAGCAGGGATTGCGTCCCCCTGCCCAGCCAGGACAGCCCTGGCTGCCATCCATCAAAGCTCAGGGAAACAGAGAAGAGGGAGCTGACAGTCGCAGGACATGACTGCAGTGGCTAGGGAGGGAGAGAAGGGGTGAATTCAGCTGTAAAGAAGTCATTATGGGCCTAAGAAAAGTCATTAAATGGTCCCTCAGCGCTGGTGACTTTTAGCAAGAGGGAGGCAGCGTCCAACCCCCAGTAGTCCTTAGGGAAGGACTCTGCAACCCTGGAGGTGCCTGAGCTGGCATCTCCACCCAGCGCAGCGGAGATAAGCGTGAAAATGTGATGTGGTGGACTCTGCCCATTCACCCTCGCCTCTAAGTGCCAACACTTTACTTTTTATAAATTCCAGCAGGGAGGTTTCTTCGAGCCCCCTCTTCTCCATCTTCCTCAGCATGCCAGCCTCCGAGTTGGGGTCCTGGGAGGGGAGAGAAGAGCATCCTGCCTTGAGAGAGGAGCACAGGTGCGTGGTGAGTGCTGTCCCAGTGTGCAGTGAGGCCAGGGAGCAGCAGAGTCCATCACAGATGCCTTTGACCCACTGCTGAGACCAATAGTTTTCCTGCCCATTGCAGCAAAGGAGTGAGTTACCTCCAAAAATCACTGCAACCCTTGAGTAGAGCTGCAAGACAAACGCTTGGGGATATTTAAGAGCATGGAAAGCTTTGAAGCCTGATGAAAGGGAAGATATCACTTCTTAAATTCTGCAAAAAGTCTGGAAATGGAAGTTGGAGACAGGCCAGTTCTAGTCTGATGGGTCCTCAGACTGTAATCTTGAAATATTTGGGGTTTCATTTTGACCTTTAAAGAACTGATGATTACACAAGTTCAAAAAAAATAAAAAAAAAATAATAATAAAAAAAAAACACACTATTTTTTGAGGCTTAACTAGTGGGGCTTGGCTTTGAAAACACTGAAGTGGAATGTTTCGATAGCTTTCTGCCTTTTTTTATTTGTTTTAATGGGAAACTTTTCTCTGCCACCATTTTTTCCAAAGAAAAAAGCCCATGTTTCAAACAGTGAGAGTGACCTTGCAGAATGTGTTGCAGTGGGGTGTTGAGATCTGGCCATTGCCAGCAGACAGGGGGAGAAGCAGGTCAGACAATCCGGGAGGGCCAAGTCACCGAGAACAGGGCCCTACCAAGGTGGACTGCATGCAGGAACACTGAGAAGACATCACACAGCCCCAGGGTGGGGTCTTACCTCTCCTTTCAGCATGTACCGAGGGAAAAAGAAGTAGGGAATGGATGTAAGCACCAAGCAGCCGGAGGAGATCAGCAGCCCCAGCCACCAGGCCCCGATCCACCGCTGGTCCTTCGGTGTCAAGGCCACCGTTGCTGCAAGACACAAAGACTGATCATCAGAGCTCTGCCTCTGCGTGTCCAATGGCGAAAGGGGCAAATACCCATGCCCATGCAAATATGGACTGGTGGAGCACAAAGACATGTGGGTGCACCCCAAGGGTCTCCCTGCTGGTGTGGCAAATGGAGGGAGGTGAGAGCTTGCGCCAGCTCTCATAGCAAGACGAGCCCTGGGTGCAGGTCCCTCCACTCCATGGTTGACTGTGGTCAACTTCCTTCTCTTCCCCCCGCCAGAAGCCAACCTCACCGGCCCCCACCTAAACAACGTGGAGCCTCCCCAGTGCCCACAGGATGCGCGTAGTCAGCATCGAAGCACACTGATGGCACAGGTTCAGGCATTCCAGCCAGCTGGTGATTATGGGGCCCTGGCTCCATCCTCCTCTGCCCGGGTGCACGGTTGGGTTTGGAGCACGTTATCTGCTGGGGCTGCCCAGGCGAGACGGGGACCGGGAAAGGGCATAGCTGCTTTCCTGGAATCATCTCCTCTCCCATTGTTCCAGGCTTGGTAACTCTCTACATGCAGAGCCCTGTGCTGGCAGAGGAGCATTTTTAATGATCCTGGTTTCCGAGTGGACAAAACTCCGGGTGCTCACACCCTTTGTCCGGTAAAAGGAGGAGACAAACACCGTTCCATCCCCGATGCGGACATCATCCTGCTGGGCCAGCACTGCTGGCAGGAGGTCGAAGGATTGCTTGGCTTGGCGTGGCGAGCACATCTCCCCATCGTCAGCACATCGCGGGTGGGAGAGGAACAACGGTCGGGAATAGTGCCGGGTGTGGCACGAGGGGTCCCACGCCCCGCCGAAACAATCACCCTGCTTCCCCAAACGGCACCGATCCGCTCCGGGACTGGACGTCATCACGGAGCGACTGGGCACGGGATGCTAAATCCGTCTGCCGCCGCAGGGAGCAAGCCAAGGCTTTTTGCCGTTTCCTGCCTCGGGCTCATTTATTATTCTTATCAGGCACCAGACAAAAATGTCAGGCAGGCTCTGATCTCTCAGAGGAACACAGGAAAAGCCACATTAATGGTGGAGCTGGGGAGAATTCTTTAGTGATTAAGTTACCAGGAATAACAAGCACACATCGCAGATAAAGAAAATAAGCCCTCCGGTGGCGCTGACCTGGTCCCATCTCTGTGGATGTTGGTGACTGGTGGTGGGGAGGAGGCTGAGCAGATTCGAGCCTTCCCATGCACACGCAGGGCAGTGGCTGCCCCATGCTTGTCTTCTCCCTCCCTGGCTGCCTCAGATGTTCCTGCTCCTTCACAGCACTGTGCCGGGGCAGTGCGGCACTTCCTCAGCATGGGAGTGGTGGGCGGCAATGACCATCGCGGTGAGCTGGACATTGAGATGCCCACACTGCAGGGCACTGCTCCAGTGGTGATCTCAGGTCCAGCTGTAGCCTTTCTCATGGGGAGATGGAGCAGAGAAGTGCACTTGGGGGGGTCTATTCGAGGTCAGGACTTTGCAGGAAAGCAGGTTTTGTGGGTCACCAGAGCAAGGCATGCGCTCCTGCCACCGGTTCTCTCACAGCAGACTTCTGATTCACAGAGGGCTTTTAGGAAAACCACCCCTACTTGGTAAATACTCACCAATGTCAACTCTTCCAATATCCACGAAGAGCCGCAGCACCACAGACCCCAACAGGTATCCAAAAGCAGGGCCGAACACCGCAATGGCAAAGAGGATGGCTGAAAAAAGGAGCAGAGAGTGAGGAGGTAACAGTAGCTGCACTGCAAATAAGGCTCTGTCCTCCTGTGAAATATCCATAAAAAGTTCATAAAATGTCCACTGAGCTTCACAGGTGATGGAGACCTTCATCTCCCACAGAAGGCCCAGGAAGCAAAGCCATCATCTCAGCCTTTTAGAAATGAGCAAAAATGTTTGGTCAAAACATCAGGGGAGGTAAAATATGTTGATTCAGGGAGAGCAGAAAGAGCAGAAAATCACCCTGGGTTCTGCTGAACTATTTCTGCTCAAAAAACAGATAAGTTAAACCCATCCCAAAAGCTCAAAATATTTCCTTTTAAAGTCTTCAGAATGAAAGTATTCAGTTTTTCTTCCTGGAAGAAATTCCTTGATTCAAAAGGAGACAATTTGCCTGGGACACGGTGACCATTTCTGTGCATTTTGCTGGTCTGGGGCTTATGAGCATGTTGGGTATGAAAGCACCTAGAAAGCACCTAGTCCCATTGCTGTGCCTCAGGCTGTGCTCCTAGTTTTAACTTTATTTATTTTTTTATTTTTTTTTCCCCAAATAGGCAAGGCAGCTCATTTGTTCCTATAGCATAAACCTAGTTGTTTAAGTGTAGGATCTTTAGAGAAGAATTTAACCTCACACATAATTAGCGTTCCCCACTTTCATGGGAAGACACTGGGACCTAAAACATAAAAAACATAAAAAAACAAATATTTATATTGTTCTGAGGCAACCTAGATGCACAGTAGCCATACCCCCCATCATGGACGTTCCCATGGGCCTAAACTGACCACCTATGCAGTCAAGACCAAACCAGCCCCGTTCTCCAAGACAGGGATGCATTGTGCTGCAGTACGCTAGGAACCAAGTCTCTTGTCTTCATCCACGGGAAGAGATGGCAGCCAGGACTTCAGAGGAGTCCCAGCGTTGTGTGACTGCTAACTTGAGCCCCGTGAGAGCTCAGTGTGCCAGATCCTTCGTGGAAATGTCAGCTGGCAGGTGCTGAGCAGACAAAAAAGGGTTTTGTGGTCCTCAGCAAGGACACACCACCTACAAATGGGAACTCTGACTGTCCTTTCTTACTACCAAGGCTTTTTCTGAGACACTTAGCAAGAAAAAGGGACAAAGAAAAAAACTCATTTTGCCAGTACAAATTTCTATATTTGAGTCGCAAGAAGCAACTAATGCCTGCATGGGAAACTTGCTCCAGAGCTCATACGTGGTGCGGCAGCCCTATCCAGCAGGAGCCTGAACTAAAGCATGCCTGGGTGGGTCTGGAGACCCTGCCAAGCCCTTGAGCACTTGTCTGAAGCCAGTCCTTGGGAGTCTATTCCCAAAGGCTTTTCCTTCTCCTTAAGTGCTTACCTTATTTTGGAACATCCGCTTTTGATTCCTAAATCACTCTGACACCTTTGGCTGCTTTAAGGACATTGTTCATCACTGGGAGGAATCAAGTTTTTAAATAAACTTGTGAACTAAGCTCAAATCTCACGTAGACACACCAGCCCCAGCTGGGCTCTGGCATTCACAGGGGAAAAAATGCAGTTTAACATGGAAGCCAGCACCTATCTCTTTGTGATCAGAAGTCCTCCTGAGCTGGGGAGCCTGCACTGGACAGGGACTCATGGCCAATTCCATAGCAAAAATGTCAACATTGCTGCAAAACCTGTGTTAATTTGCTCCTGCAGGCTGTCATACCTCTGGTTAAAGCACGATCTTCTCCTTGCCCTGATTATTCGGCTTCCTCACGCTCACACCATAAATATAACCATAAAGGGAGTAACTGACTAACAAGGGGAGAGGCATCCCAGCACCTTCATGGAGGCTGAGCTCATCAGAGTCCCACTGGGTGCTCAGCTCTGCCCTGGAGGCCACAGGTGCTCCAGATGAGCACCTCTCCAGCTCAGCTCTAGGGCCTTAAGGAAACTTGGAGGATTGTGTCCTGTTCCGGGCTCTCCAGTACAAGAGGGACATGGAACTACTGGCGTGAGTTTAGAGGAGGGCTACAAAGATGGTTAGAGGACTGGAGCTCCTGTCGTGAGAGAAATGGGCCTGTTTAGCCTGGAAAAGAGAAGACTGAGGGGAGGCCTCCCCAGTGTATAAAAATATCTGAGGGAGGGTGTAAAGAGGATGGAACCATTTATTTTCTGTTGTGCCCAGTGACAGGACAAGAGGCAACAGGCACAAACTGAAGTGCAGGAGGTTCCAGCTCAATATAAGGGGGCACTTTGCTGTGAGGGTGACAATGCACTGGAACAGGTTGCCCAGAGAGATTGTGGAGTCTCCTTCTCTGGAGATATTCAAAACCCGCCTGGATGCCATCCTGCACAACGTGCTCTAGATGATCCTGCTTTGCAGGGGGGTTGGACCAGGTGATCTTCAGAGGTCCCTTCCAACCCCACCGATTCTGTGATTCTGTGAAGCAAAGTGATATAAGAACAATGCCCCTTCCACTTACCAACGTACAGCGGGGAATTGTTTGCTTCTGCAAAATCATCGACGTAGGATATCCCAAAGGGCTGGATGGGAACCGTCCCGATTCCAGCCAACAGCTGGGCAACGACCATCATTGCCCACACACTGCTGGCCTCCTTCTGGGGATCCTGGGTGGCATTTGGGCACACAAACTTGTTCTCTGCATAGCAGAGCTCAGCCTGGACCTTGGTCTTGTTACCTGGAATGGAAAGGGATGAACATTACAAAACTGGGCACGCATCCTGCCTTCTCCAACCCCTGCATCACCACAGCTGCAGGGGCACAAGGTGAAGGAACCCGCTCAGGCTGACCCTAAATCCCTAATTCCTCTTCTGCACAGCTGTTTTTGCCCTTGCTCGGGTACTGTGTGGCCTGACAGGAGGAGACACGTTGTTGTCTGTTGGGGTTTGGATGGATCAACCCCTTTAGTTAGCACTTATCTCTCCCTTCCCCATCCTTTGGGGCACTCAGCTCAGGGAAGCAAAGAGACCAGCTGTGATTTTTATCAGACTTGAGGGCAGGCTGATAAGAAAAGAAGGAAGCAAAGTCATTTCTCTTGTCTGCTGCAACTGTGGAGGAGAAAGGTCGGCCCTGCAGCCCAGCTCCAGTGAGTCAGTCAAGCTGTCAGCGGAGGATAAAAAGCTCTTCATCAAAGCCACAGCAATGCTGGGCTCAGCCAAGTGACAAAAGCCCTTGGACCGACAGTGTCGGAGTCGGTGGGAAAGTATAAATATTCACTGATGGAAAAACCTGTTTTGCATGCAAACTGACGGTGTTGTAGAGCAAACAGAGTAATCCCTGCTCTTCTCATGTTAGCTCTTCCCATTCGGGTTTATTATTGTTTGTAATTGTTTCAACATTTCTATCACATCTTTCTCATTAATATAATAACTCTGGATTTTCTACACTTCTGAGCAAGCAGAAACAAAAGGGAAACAAATATTTGCCAGGTGATTAGGGGTTTTCACTGGCATAGTGCGGCGGCACATTCCTAATAGTAGGTCACCACAAAAATCCTGGTGTGAGTTCATTCAAAGCCGCGCTGTCGGAAGGGTCTGTGCTGCCAGACAGAAGGAGCCTCTTCAGCTAATAAAGATTTTACTGCAGCAGCAGCGAGAGCTGCAGAAGTTTAATGAGGACAAACCTAATCCAGGACTGGTTTTTTCAGTGTTGATGGTCTTTGCTCCCTCATGGGACCAGGAGCAATGCGCCGTGGGGTGGCACCCCAAGCAGGACACCTTGCCCACCCAACCTCCGTTGTTCCCAGTGCTCAGGAGCAGCCTACGTCTGTTCAAAGCCAGACCCTGACAACTTCATGGGGGTCTCCACCCTCCTCAAGGCACCGGGAGCAGCCTCCCTGATTGCAGGCAAGAACCAGGATGCACACACATCAGCACTGCTCTTTCAAGCCTTTGTGTCAGCCAGATAAATTCCTCTGCCCTCGAAGCACGTGAGGACTGACCACATGCCGTAGCTATTATTGTCTCGAGCAGATAAGACCGATGTGACTGAGACTTCTGGTACGAACCCAGCTCAGCTTTCAGGAAACCTCAAGGCACTGCAGAAGCCTCTGGGCATCCCCAGGAAATGCACTATTGCCCCCCCAGAAACCAGAAGGGAAGCAATTTTTCTGCAGTCACAGGGGACATGAGCAGAAGACCCATCATTGCCTGTATCCCAGGGCTCCTGCCCCTGTCTGCTGCCCCACCTCTGCTCATCACCACTTTCACACTCTCTCCCTGGCTCTTTGGGCAGTCATTAGTGATGATGCCGTCACCACCAGCAAGCCCTGCAGCTTCAGAACTGTGGTTGGACCTCTTCTGATGCTACAGAGAGCAAACCTGTTTCCAGCACGCTCAGGAGCAGGCTGGGAGGACACCAGCACCCATGCAGAAACCAGGGATGTGACACACTTAGAGATCTGGAAAGAGGAGGGTGAGCATAGCCAGGAGAGAAGTATGGTAAAAACACCGTATTAAACAAGGTAAATAATTAGTTTTCCAGTCTAACTATTTTATAGTGTCCACACTGATAAAGATACACTTCTCTTACTCAATGCAGAGGCTCCTTACAAATGTTCCTGGGGGTGGCATGTCCATGATGCCTATCTCGGGGGCTCTCCTTGAGAGGGAGCGGGCCTTGGCAGCCTGTGGACAGCCCACAGACTCAGGCAGGGAGATGCCTCCCTCTGGAGGCCTTCAGGAGCATCTTTGGAGAATTTGGGTACTTCACAATGACCAAAACACTCATAACCTGGAACTGTGGCTCAAACAACATGTCCAGAAGAGGCAGAAGGGATCCCACATGTAATTATCACATTCAGAAGGGGTTACAAAACTATACTGAAGTTGGTCTTAAAATAGTAAAACTCTGCCTTAAGCCTTTCCCTCCAAACACTGTGTTTAAGTTCTGTGTGGGGTGGATACCACACTTTTGGAGGAGGCACGGGAAACCCAGCCCAGAGCCACTGGAGATGGATTTGTGATGGGGCAGGCTCCCAGAAGAGCAAGACTCAGCAACCACAGAGCCTTGCGGAGGCTGAGGTGAAGGTAAAAGATGAAGTGGATGATAGAGGTGGGCACCTTCACTTGCTTAATGGTTGCCTTAATGGAAAGGTTGCCTCTTCACCGATTGCCTTTTTTTGACTCTTGCAGGTAAGAAGGGCAGGTTCGAAATGTAGTCACCACCCAGCATGATGCAACAGATTGCTACATCCAGTGTTTGTGCTTCGTATTTTGGTCTTGCAAGGTTGTTGGCCCTCAAACAGCTAAGCACTTCAGATGTCCTACACATCTATCAGACTTGTTGGGAAGAAACAAGGAGCAGAGGAGCAGGGCCTCTGAGCGGGTCACATGAAACCTGGCAGAGCACAGCACTGGAGTGCCCTGGAGGAGGAGGAGGCATTGTACATCTCTACTCCAAGACCCAGGAGCAATGTTGGCCCTTGGATGATGCCTCTACTCTGTGTTCTTCTGTAAGGAGAGGCCTCCCCAACTCACCCTCTCTGCTGCACTACACAGGTGGCCACAGCTGAAGCTGGGGAAGCTCCTCAGCTTTGTTTTCTCCTGATATCCCCCTCCCCATGGAAGGGCACGGGCACTTACCGGTGCTAATGGTGGTGTATTCGTAGGGATCCGAGAGGAAATGGGGAAGGGTCACCAGGAACGCTCCCAGCGCCAGCAGCAGCCCCCCAGCTCCGATCACCCGCGGGCGGTGAACTCGGCTGCCAAAGTAGCTGACAAAGATGATGAGGACCACATTGCCAATCTGGAAAGAGCACAGTGAGATGAGGAGGTGGTTAGAAGATGCCACAGAGAAGGTCAAGCCCTGCTCTGTACCTGGCCCCCCATGACCATGTCCAGGTGGGTGGAGAGCTCACATAATTGCTTACCAGTTGTGGTAATTGTGACCCCCACGAGAGTAGGAATGGGGCAACCCTCAGCTTCACCCTGCATATTCATAACAATTCACTGCTGTCTTCTTATCAAAAGCCAGCAGGACAACTCCTTGTCTCTGGTAGCCTGTGTGTATCCCTTGCAATCACAGACTGCTTCACAACCTGCCCGTGATCTGGCTGGGCTTTGTTCAGCACCACATGTGCTTCCCACCCCATAAGATGTGGCATAAACTTAATGACTTCCCCCAAATCCAAGAAAGAAACAAAGCGCATTGCCTTCATTTCCATGATTCTCAGAGGACACAAGCCAAGCCACAAAGTACAGCTCATTGCAAATGTTTGTGACACTGGGCATTCGCAACTGCAGACATTATCTACAGTCCCATCCTCCTTGATCAGCTAAAAGATAAGAAAACACGCAGTCTATTCTGTATATGAACTGCAGCATTCAGATAAGAAGATGAACACCAAAAAAATTGCCATTACATGGCTTTTTGTCAACTTGGGACAAGCTAAACATTTTAACCCTGGTGAATGTCTAAATATCCTTTTTACGCATGTTTACATAGGCTCCCTTGTTTGTCTCTGTGGTTTTTGTTCTTGGAATTGCTGCAGACTAAATGAGAAAGGATAATAGTCCAAGGCATGCAGGGTTTTTGTTTTGATATTACATCTCCAGGCATAAAGTCAAATAAGTTTAAGTAACTTGGATAAGGAGCACAAGGGTTACTGATGCATCATTGTGGTGAGGGGTGGGATACTCTGCAGGGCATAATTGCACCAACCAAGTCTCTCCCAGCAGGTCTTTTCCTAGCTAGCCTTGAAGAGCTACCAGACGGGATACAACTCATGACACCAGGAACCAGAAAACCTTTTCCAGAGGAGTAAGTGGTTAGTGCCTGGGAGAAACTCCTCCATTCAGGCATTTGTGTCCACACATACCAGTGCCCTTCTAGTGCCTTGCCAAAACAGCTCAGGTGTCACTTTGTCCTAAGCTGGGCTCTCCCCCTGCCCTCAGATGATACCCAGTATGTCTCCATGCCTTGACAGAGCAGACAAGTGGCAATTTTGCACAGCAGAAGGTGTATATTCTTGTGGCATATACCTCAAAGGGTTGTGTATCCCCCTGTGCATCCAGAACTGCCTAAAGATCTTGTCATGGAGTGACTACTCATCAAGTGTCAGGTTTAAATCAGAGCTCTCGCCACCCTGAAGCTTCATAAGAAGCTCAGCAGCACCTTGGCCACAGTTCAGACTGAGGCCAGCTCAGCAACAGCATGATGCCAGTGAAAGACAGTCCTTTGCCACAGGGCTGTCAGGAGCTGGGAGCCCTGGAGAAACGGGGTGGCTCTTGGAGAGAGCAGAAGCAAAGCAAGAAGAGGTGTTCAGGTACACAGCAACAGCTGTTTCATCCAGCACGTGTAGGCACAGCCAAGGAAACACTGGATGTTAACAACCCCAAGGCCCTATCCTGGGAAGTTCCCCTGTTCTGGACATGCTGTGAGGCCCCTGCACAAGCACCTAATCCAGTTACCTCGTGCAAGCTGGAGATGAAACCTGAAGAGAGACTGGAGAGCCCAAAGCGCTTCTCGATGGTGGTGAGGCTGCTCTTGAAGTTGGCACTGTAGAGGAGCTGGGAGAGCTGCAGAAGGCCATGGCACAACACAAATACCTGCGGGCAAAAAAAGAGTATCCCAGTCAGTACCCGTTGGCTGCCCAGCTGATGCGGTGAGCACGTCCCACCCAGAGGGATTTCAGAGTCGCACACACACGGACCCAAGCTAGCTGGCACAGCTGCACCTCCAGCACACAACGAATCCATATCCCTAACTCATTAGCTTTGCCAAATGAGTAACCGGGTGTTCAGAAGAGAGGGCGAGGAGCCCTCTTTTTCTTTCCTCTGCTCCATTGCTGCCAATATTCATGATTACTGGCACCACAGCAGCCCTTGGCAGAGGAAGGATGCGATGCCCGAGCTGTGTGATGGTGAGCCCAGGAGGAAGACCTGCCTGCGAAACGGGAGCCGCACTGCTTTCACCTACCTGAGCCCCAGCCTCTCCCATCCACCCTCGGATCCACTCAGCTGCAAAGCAAATCGGCAGAGCCTGCTCCAAAGGGTGTTGGCAGGAAAATGGTGGTGCAAGACTTTGAAAACCCCGCAGGGAGAAGGTGAAATATGCACCATGTCTTCTCACTGCTGGAAGCCCTCTGCAGTGTTCTAAAAACAGCACCTTTCCCTCGAGGTGGTCTCTCAGTCAGGCCAGAAACCAAGCCAGATGGACACAGAGCATCCCAAGAGCAGAAGAGGGAATACGCGGATTTATGGGGCAGGAGCACGGTGCAACAAGCCGGGGTGGCCGCAGAGAGGAAAGCGTTCTCGGCCGGGGATGCAAGAGGCAGCTCACAAGTGTCTTTTGATCTATATTTAGTTGGAACAGTTTTCTTTTATTTTTCTTGGAATGGAATGTGTCTGCATGGTGCCAAAAGTATTTTAAAATCATTTTTGAAAAAAAGGGAAAAGGTCTTTTTAGTTAAATTCACAGGAAATCAAATATTTGCTGAACACCGGAAGTGTGTCCCACAAAGATAATGTCGGGAAGCCCAAGATGATGGATGGGGGGATCAAAGGTACTGCAGTGCTGACAAATTCCTTATGTCCTTGGCTAGGGGACCGGCATTACTCCTTATTACTATTTATTTGAAATGGCAGTAGCGGCCAGGAGCCCGGATTCATCACATGAAGTCCGGCACAGAAAAAAAAATAAAAATTAAATTGTCCACTTTTCCGTGTCCTTACAGCAAGGATGTGGCTTCTTGGGAAGCTTCTGCAAGGTGGGATGGCACCAGGCAGAAGACAGAGCTGGGCATCCAAAAGCATAAGAATCAGGAGAGAACCTGAGGGCAGAGATGAAGGGGAAGGAGAAAACATTGTAAATAACCTGGAGACCACACAAAAGTAGATATGATGAATGCAAAAAGAGGGACAAGGGGTCATAAGAACAAGGCCAAGCTCTCCATCAACATCTTGGCAGGGTGTCAGTAGACACAAGGATGCACCACATGCATGGCTGGCACTGCGGCAGCTGAGCAGGGGAGGACAAGGTCCCCATCTGGGACTCTGCCATGACAAAAAGTCGCAAAGTGGCAACGTGGGGCACGACGTGGGAAATGCTGCCAGGCAGGTGACAAAATGGAAGTGAAACAGCTGAGAGCAAGCAAGCTCTTGAAGCTAAGCAAACACTAAATCTGCCAGCTGTCCAACCCTGCACCCAAAAACACCTCTGAGCACATGGTCCTGCTGGTGACAGCTGAATCTGTCACCTTCCCTTTCCCAAATCCTGGGCTCATGCGTAATCGATGAACGCAGCTCGGCTGGCCTGAAGCAGAGAGGTGACTCCTCCAAGGAAGAGAAGCCGAGAGGGGATCGTGTTGCCAGAGAACATTAATTTTTGTTCCTGCGGCTCTGGCCAGACCTTACTGAAGTCATTCGGATGAGGAAGCATTAGGGAAACAGAGGAGGACCGGGACCGCCTAAGACGCAGAGCAGCTGGAGGCAGTGATCTCCCAGCGCAAGGCGTTAGCTGCAGAAACAGAGCTGTTTACCAGCAGGGCGGAAAGAGGGTGGATCACCACGGCTGAATTTAGTGCAGCAAATGTCAGCCTGATCCCAGGGCAGATGGAAGGAAGAGAAGTGTCGGGGAGAGAGATGTGCTTGGGCTGGCAGATGGACCTCAAGAAATGCTGGGCTTGGCAGGAGAAGACAAAGGTGGAGGACCATGGGGAAGCCACGCTGATGGAGCTTCACAAGGGGATGTGGGGCAGGAGATGGGGCAGGCTGTAGTCAGAGAGGGCAGGCAGGAAGAGGCAGAGGGATGGGGAGAGCCAAGAGGACAGGAGGGGAAGGGTAGATGAGGGTTTTTTTTGATGTTTGTGAAGAAGCTGGGGTTGGACTGCCACCCAAAACAGCCAGAGCAAAGGAAAACAGCCACAGCTCCAGGACTCATGCAGCTGGAGCTTGCCTCTTCCAGAGGCACTTTGGCTGTCCGGTGGTGAGAGACTAAGACCTTCCCTGCGCTCAGCAGGCTCAGTGCCAACTAAAATGTAGACCGCCCAAACCTTGAGGACTCTGAGCACAAATAGCTGTGATAGGGGAGCTTCCTCAGCTGGTGGCAGCGCTCTCCAAAAGGAGCCCATGCACCTCCTGGCCTTGGTACTAGCCAAGATGCTCTGGCAGGGAACAGCAAACCTCTGGTGCTGGTGGAGATGCAGAGAACTGCTCTGAGTCTGTCCCCATCCATCTCCCCGCATGTTGCTGCTCACCCTGCAGCACGGTCACAGCTGCTTCCCCCAGCAGCGACCTGGTCCCACCCCGGCCCCATGCACCCACCGAGCACCCCAGCAGGGGAGGGAGCCACTGTCATCCGTCTGTCGTAACACTTCACAGGGAAGGATGTTTAAAGAGCCAAGCAAAGTCCTTTGAAGGGAGGTGAAGGCGTGGTGGGAGGTGAAGGAGCTGGGGACACTCCTAGGAAGACAGCAGTGACCCCGGAGCAGATGCTCCCATCAGAGCCTGGTGGGGTTCTGGAGCCACGGGCAGGTCCCATTGCAGGCAGCCGGGGCACAGGGCGGCGTGCATCCACCCACACCAGGACACGTGCACAGAGCCCCCTCTTCATCATCCTGACGTTTCCTTCAGAGCGCCGAGCGGTCCTGACTCCAGGCTGTTTATACAAGGCACTTGACTCCTTTCCAAGACACACTTTATTTAAAAGGGAAGAAAATGCCTCAGGGTGGAGGTCTGCCTTGCGGACACCCTGCTCCCTGCACCGGGACCAGCACCACCCAGGGCAAGGCTTTTCCATGAGGCAGACAAACCCACGCCATCACAAGGAGCAGAGGGGATGATCCCACCACAGTCTGGACCAAGGTTCAAAGCAGGGACATGCCAGCTCTGTGGGCGATCCCAAATCAGGGCTCTGGGAGGAGAGACTGGTTCAACCAGCCTCATGCTGAACCTGTTCCGATATCCAAAAAGCAGACAAGAAGGAGTTGGTCAGAGACAGGGGGTGAGGTGAGCCTGCCCTTTAGGTGAGCTTCTGGGGACAGGAGGAGGCTGGGGCTGCTGGGGCTGGATGCGTGCCCCAGGAGCAGCCAGTTTTGGGGCACTGCTGGTAGGCAGCCTGCACTTGCACTGCGCCTGCACCATGCACCGGGTCTGCTAAGCCATGTGCTCTTATCTCGTGGCACTCTCTTTCCATTATTGTTTATGTAAGATAACGCACTGTTAACACTGTCACTGGCCCTAATGAACCGCTAACTTAGGTAAGTTGAGACTGGACTTCAAAAAAGCCTGTTATGAAAGATGGCTGTTTTGCAAGAGTTTTTTGGGGGGACATCACCAAGGCAGCCAGCAAAATGCTTGGCAAGAGGCTAAGCGAGAGAGAGAACAAAATGTGCTTGATAAGCCCAGCATGCATGTGCTGGACGCAGGTCAGAGTGAAGGCAAGGTCAGGAAATTCTGGCCTCTGGATATTTCAGAGGAGTGAAGTGCTTCTACAGCACCTCCAGGAAGGAGCCCAGCACTGCTCTGCAGGGACAAGGGTTCAGGAAGACGGTGGACTTGATGAACTTTTGACTTCATGGTTGGACTTGATAACCTTCAGGGTCTTTTCCAACCTAAATAATTCCATGATTCTAAGATGCTGCTATGCGCAGCACGGGCACTGCCCCTTCCTCTCCACTGCCTGGAGGTACTGATTCAAGGGTCAATTCCTAGCTCTGCTTCCACAGCTTCATGCTTCAGGCAGTGGCACCCATGCCCAAAGTCATCCCTCATCTCGTTCTTCAGTCTCTTCACCTGCCTGGAGACAGGGAAGGTGGACGGTCCTATGGGACAGGTCACCTCTGCGATGAGCATTGGGAACACATGCCGTGGTGGGGTCTGCACCCACAAAATGCTTGGGGAAAACCCAGCTGGAGAGAGGAAAAAGAAGCCGGCCAGTGTCCAATGGGACCCACGAATGGGTCCCACACTCTCCTCTTCAGCCATGCCCATGTCTGCAAGACAGGGATGTAACCACAGCCCAGAGAAGAGCAGGACAAGCAAACTATGGGAACAAGCTGGAGAAATGCTGAAGAAGCAAAGGGTAAAATGGGAATGAAAGGAAGAGCTTTTCCTCCCAGAAGATGGAATAATTTGGGGAGAAACAAGACTATAGTGGGAGCAATGAATTTCAAAACAAAGCCAACTGAGCTGCTTTTTACTGCTTTTAAAATACCTAAGACTGAAGACCCACACTCATGGCCTCCCCACAGAGCCCTGGGGGCACCAGAAGCAGCCCCAGAGGTTCCAGCCTGTGCCACCTCCTCTTCCTGACTCTGCTCTCATGCACTCACACCACTGCTCATGTAAGTACCGAACAGCCACTAACGACATAGATGGAAAGAGCCAGAGCTTAATTTATTAGACGGCCACAACAGCTGCCTGGGGAGCTGTAAAAAGCAGCGGAGATCCTTGCAGAGGCCATCAAACTGCTCTCAGCTGATTGATGACACCTGAGGTATGACGTGGCCAAGAGAAGTTGCTGCAGGGAGATGCACAATGAATCTGGCTAGAGTAAATATTTAGAAAGAACGAGGAGTAAGGACGCTCTGTTAGCTCTTTCTGCCTAC